GTGCTCTACCACTTGAGCCACAGCGCCACTTCCAGCTCTTTTCTTTTTGCTTATATGGTGCTGAGGAATCGAACCCAGGGCCTTAAACATGGAAGGCAAGCGCTCTACCACTGAGCCACCTTCCCAGCCAGATCTATTTAAAAGCCATGAATTCTATTTTCAGGCCCTGTGGCCGTGAGGTTTTGAGCTTCTACCTCAGCCCTAAACTCTCAGGAACTTCTCTAAAATCTGCTCCAAAGTCTCCCCCAGCATGCTAGCTGCCTCCCACAGCCTCTCTGTCAGTCCCTTGCCTTTGACTTTGTCCCCACAGGTTCCAGTCTGGTGGCCCCATGAATCTAGCACCTGTTGGGCGCTGGACCAGTTGCTAAGGGCTTTACTTGCCCAGATTCCTTTGACTGGCACAAGTTTATCATTACCCCCCCCCATTCCTCAGAAGAGGAAACTGAGTCTGGAGAGGGGTACTAGCTTGCCTCCACGCCCAGCAATCACCCGGGGTGCTCCACCTCAGGGTGGCAGATGAGTCTTGGGGCTGGAACCCATCGCTTCCTCCAGGGGTGGGCTGGGCGTCCATTTCCAGAGGTGACAGTAGCTCAGGATGGGTGCTGCCTGACTGCACTGAGGGTGGGGAGGGTGGGAGGGGGGGTGAGGGGGGGCTGTCTCATCTGCTCCTCTTGTGCCTTCCTCAGTTTCGGGAAGACCTCCAGGACATCCTGCCTGCCCTCCCCAAGGCCGATGACTACTTCCTCCTGTGTTGGCTCAGAGGTGAGACCACAGGGCTCGGGGAGGCTGAGAGGGAGGTGAACAGCAACGGGGCTCGGGAGAAAGGAAGAGGAAACTTTAGGGGACAGAGTTCCTGAGGGGTAAGAAAGTCAGACGCTGGTTTCACCTGCTCTGGGTTCCAATCTAGCCACTAGCACAGCACAAAGTGCTGAAGTCTCAGTGTCTTGTTTATCTCTCACCATCAGACTCACTCTAGAGGCAAGGTGTGGGATCCTTAAGAGGTGCCTAGATGGACTTTGAGCCTGACCTTGAACTTGACCTTCACTGGACAGTCTCTTCTGAGCTTGCCTTTGTTAGTCTCAGTTCCTCATGGACAGAGCTATTTCATGCCCAGACACAAATCAAGTACACCCTCCCCAAGAGGGTTCTGAGGAGACCTAGCAACCATTGCTATGACAACAAATCTCCATGGCAACCATATAAAGAAGATGATGCCCAGCAAACGCTTGGGTGGATCTAAATAAAAGTAGAGAAGGAATTTCATTAAAAAATTACAGTAGCCGTTTAACCAAAGTTTAATAATAACAGAAACAATACTAGGGCTTAGGGGTTAAAAACAAAACAAAATACTTAAACGTGTTTCAGTTAAGATGAGAAATGTCAGGGAGCAGTTCAGGAAAGAGTCACACAGCATGAGGCTTAAAATGAGCCAAGCACCTGTGGCTTATGACTGTAAACCTAGGGTCTGAGATCTGAGAATCACAATTCAAAGCCAGCCCAGACAGGAAAGTCTGTGGGACTCTTAACTCACAAACTGGAAGTAGAACTGTGGCTCAAGTGTACTATTTTCTTGAGCACACAAGCTCAGGGATAGTTCCCAGGCCCTAAGTTCAATCCCCATGACCAGTATACACACACTCACACACACACACACACACACACACACACACACACACACACACGTGGATGTTCAATAGGGATCCCAGCTCTGTGGCATGCAGCAGTGTGCTGGTAAACAAGTTGTTAGTGTCCTTTTTTGTGTGTGTGTGTCAGTTGTAGGGCTTGGACTCAGGGCCTGAGCATGCTTGCTCAAAGCTTGAGCACTGCCTCTTTGAACTACAGTGCCATTTCTGGTTTTCTGGTGGTTAATTGGAGATAAGAGTCTAGCGGGGGCTGGGAATATGGCTTCATGGAGAGTGCTTGCCTAGCATGCATGAAGCCCTGGGTTCGATTCCTCAGTACCACATTAATAGAAAAAGCCAGAAGTGGTGCTGTGGCTTAAGTGGTAGAGTGCTAGCCTTGAGCAAAAGAATCTCAGGGATAGTGCCCAGGTTCTGAGTTCAAGCACCAGGACTGGCAAAAAAATGTCTTATGGACTTCTCTGCCTGGGCTAGCTTCAAACCAAGATCCTCAGACCTTAGGCTCCTAAGTAGCTAGGATTACAGGCATGAGCCACCAGTACTGGCTCCTACCTTTAGGTGCTATGACTCAATTTGAGGTCAGAGGTATGTACCAGGCCTGCGGGAACGAGGCCCAGGGCTGGCCTTTCTCTCCCCCCACCTTTTTTTTTTAATAGACATTTTGTTCCATCTGATACTTGGAAAAAGTTATCATCTTCATCAATTTTATTTTTAGAATAGTTTTAAATCTTCAGAAAATTACAACCACAGTATAGAAAGTTCCCAGATGTCTATTATTCACATCTTACTTTATTCTTTTAGGAACAAGGAAAAAAATGACATCAGCCGATATTGTTAGTTAAATCTGGAACTAGAGACTCTTGCCAATGGTATAAGAAAGGAAAAGATAATCAGCAGCATAAGGATGAGAAGGAATTAAAACTTATTGCTGGCCAGGCGCCGGTGGCTCACGCCTGTAATCCTAGCTACTCAGGAGGCTGAGATCTGAGGATCTCGGTTCAAAGCCAGCCGGCCAGGGAAGTCTGTGAAACTCTTATGTCCAATAAAGCCACCAGAAAACCGGAAGTGGTGCTGTAGCTCAAGTGGTAGAGCGCTAGCCTTGAGCTGAAGAGCTGAGGGACAGTGCTCAGGCCCAGAGTTCAAGGCCCATGACCGACAAAAAAACAAACAAACAAACAAAAAAAACTTGTTGCTGACAAATTTGTTATTGCGCCTAAAAAATCAGCAGGATCAACAGAAAAAACATATAAGACTAATGAGAACATTCATCAATATGACCAGACACAAAAATCAGTACTATTAAACCAGGCACAGGTGGCTGACGCCTGTAATCCTAGCTACTCAGGAGGCTGAGATCTGAGGATCACAGTTCAAAGCCAGGCAGGAAAGTCCATGAGACTTTTTTTTTTTTGGTTGGTTGGGGCCTGAATTCTGGGCTTGGGCGCTGTCCCTCAGCTCTTCAGCTCAAGGCTTAGCACTCTACCACCTGAGCCACAACGCCACTTCCAGCTTTTTCTGCTTATGTGGTGCTGAGGAGTTGAACCCAGGGCCTCAAGCATGCAAGGCAAGCGCTGTACCACTGAGCCACCTTCCCAGCCCCTACAAGACTCTTATCTCCAGTTAACTACCAAGAAAGCCAGAAGTGGATCTATAGCTCAAGTGGTAGAGTGCTAGCCTTGAGCAACAAAGCTCAGGGACAGTTCCTAGTTCCTGAGTTCAAACCCCCAGGCACCCCCCCTCAAAAGAACATCCAAACTCTCCCATGTATTGCTGGGGTGTGATGAAAAGGCAGGGGGCACCCCGACCATGTCCCCAGAAACTCTCAGAGGAGCATCGCCCTCCAGGCCTGGCCTCTTCTTTCCTCATTTGCTTGCAGCTCGGAACTTTGACCTGCAAAAGTCTGAGGACATGCTCCGCAAGGTGAGCCCCTACAGCCACGCCCTGCCTCCCTGGGTCATACTCCAGACATCAGGCTTCTTCTTCCTTCCTCTTCCTCTCTGCATCACACCAGGCTCCTTCTCCTTTGTTATTTATTTATTTATTTTTGTCCCCATCCTGGAGCTTGAACTCACGGCCTGGGTGCTGTCCCTGAGCTCCTTTTGGTCAAGGTTAGTGCTCTACCACTTGAGCTACAGTGCCACATCCGGCTTTTCCTGAGTAGTTGATTGGAGATAGGAACCAGCTTGGGCTGGCTTCAAATCGTGATCCTCCGATCTCAGCCTCCTGAGTAGCTAGCACTATAAGCATGAGCCACCAGTGCCTGGCTTCCTTCTCCTTTAAACTCTCCCCCCTCCCCCCTTGCCCAGGGCTGAGGGGATGCTCAGAGGGGGTTTTGGTGGCCCTGGGACAGAGGGACTGACCTGCTGTCCCCAGATGTCCTTGGGGACCTTTGGGGGCAGGCAGACTCTTTATCTCCTGTCACCTCTGCAGCATGTGAAATTCCGGAAGCAGCAGGACCTGGACCATATTCTCACGTGGCAGCCCTCAGAGGTGAGCCCCCTGCCATCAAACACCCCTTTCTGGGTTCCTCTGCTCTTCATGTCCAGACACTTGTTGGGGGGGGGCGTCGAGGGGATGCGGTGTGGTGGGCCTGCTTGAATCCAACCCTGACCTGTGTGTCCAGGTGGTCCAGCTGTATGACTCAGGTGGACTGTGTGGCTATGACCATGAAGGCTGCCCTGTGTGGTTTGATATCATTGGGAGCATGGACCCCAAGGGTCTCCTCCTGTCAGCCTCCAAGCAGGAGCTGATCCGGAAACGCATCAAGGTCTGTGAGCTGCTCCTGCACCAGTGCGACCTGCAGAGCCAGAGGGTGAGCCGCTGGGGGAGGGGGCACCCACCAGGTGCCGGGTCTATCCAGAGGAGACTGTCCCCAGGACCAGGGAGGAGTCGCATCCTGCTTCCCAGCCTCCTCCCAGCTCTGGGCACTCAGGACTCATGGTAGAACATGGGTTTCTCCCACTATCTCTGTTTCTCTGAGCTGCAGGTGGATCCTTAGTGAGTCAACCTAACACCGGGGGTGCTGGCCTTGGTTTTATGATGCTAGACGCACGCCCTCTGGTGGACATCTTGTGCCATGACAGCATGAAATGGCTACTGGCTGACTCCACGGAACTCCTGTCATAAATGCTGGCTATAAAATAGGCCCTTACCAGCTACTTAGGAGGCTGAGGTCTGAGGATCGTGGTGGTTTGAAGCCAGCCTGAACAGAAAAATCCAAGAGACTTTTCTAAAATAATCAGCAAACAGCTGAGCTAGGGGCTGGGTTCAAGTGGTAGCACACCAGTAGAGCCAGCAAGCCAAGGAAGAGATCTTGAGTTTAAACTCCAGTATGAGGAAAGAATGTGTGTGTGTGTGTGTGTGTGTGTGTGTGTGTGTGTGTGTGTGTGTGTATTTGAGAAGAAAAATGGATTTCTACTAAATATGTACAGATTTTTTTTCTTGTTATTATTTCATGGGGAATATAGCATATCAGATAGCATGCACATTGTGTGAGCTATTATAACTCTTCTAGCAATTATCTAAGGTATACAGAAGGATCTTTGTAAGTTATATGCCAACACTGCAGTATCTTTATTTGAAGGAACTGAGTAGCTGTAGATTTTGGTGTCTGTGAAGGGTCTTGGAACTGACTTTGTACTATTGTACGCAAAGTCTCTGGAGAGTCTTGTATTAATTATGCTGTTAACTGATTCCAGAGAACAGTGTCAGCTAACCATGATGACATCCCAGGAACCTGCAGACACATCTAGGGCTCAGGACCTTGGGGTGCAGTGTCCCCTTACACCCTAAATGGTCTCCTTTGTATTGGGCTGCCAGGATTGCTGGTGACAAAGGGGGTGGAGAGAGGAACTCCAGCCTCTCCAGCCACACTCTGACAAATGCTCCTGCTCTCTTCCATGTAGCTGGGCAGGAAGATCGAGACATTTGTGATGGTGTTTGACATGGAGGGACTGAGCCTAAGACATCTGTGGAAGCCAGCTGTGGAGGTCTACCAGCAGGTGAGGTGGGGAGTAGGCGGGGAGTAGGCTATAGGCAGAAATGTCAATGGCCCCTAGGCCAATAGGGAGCCATGGCCCATGCAGCTTCCCGTACATGGAGAAACAATAGGGCCTCCAGGGGCCCCAGGGACCAGCCAGTGATGCTGGCCCAAGGAGAAAGAGGCTCAAAAATGATAAGATAAGAGCTGGGAATGTGAATTAGTGGTAGAGTATGGCTCAAGTGGTAGAGTGCTAGCCTTAAGCAAAAGAAGCTCAGGGCTAGTGCCTACGCTCTGAGTTCAAGGCCCAGGACTGGCAAAAAAAAAAAAAAAAGATATGACACTGAGGAGCAGGCAAATGCTCTTGGGAAAGGCCTCCTGTCAGCAGCCTTGGGGTGGGGTGCCCCAGAAATCTGGGGATCACAGGCATGACCAGACCCATTCTCCATTCACAGTTTTTTGCCATCTTAGAAGCAAATTATCCTGAGACAGTGAAGAAATTAATTGTGATTCGAGGTGAGCCCACGATTGACTTGATCTGAGGAGGGAAAGTGGGGGACAGGGTGAGGGGAGACACTACCTTAAGAGCTGATAGTTTTACCAAGCACCAGTGACGGCTCGTGGCTATAATCCTTGTTACTCGGAAGGCTGAGATCTGAGGATCATGGTTCAAAGCCAACCTGGGCAGCAGAGTCTGTGAGACTCTTATCTCCAATTAATCATTAAAAAGCTGGAGAGCTATGGCTCAAGTGGTAGAAAACTAGTCATGAGCAAAACAAGTTCAGGGACAGCACCCAGGCACTGAGGTCAAGGCCTAGTACTGGCATAAACACACACATGCACACACACACACACACACACACACACACACACACACACAGTTTCATGGTTTCTGAAATCATCCTTTTGTGGAAAACTGGTGACTTGTTTGATTTTTGTGTTTATTATTATTATTATTATTTTGGGTCCAGTCGTGGGCCTGAACTCTGGGC